TAGCTGTCAGGATGATAAATCATCAACAACACCGCAATGAGGTAATGTGTCTAGTAAATTTGCACCATGAACCGAACTGTATCAAAATTCAAAAGCGTCATATAGGAGATTCTGTCAGAGTCATATGACAGAATGAACAGGTTATGTGCTCTTGTTTTTCGAGGAAACAAAAGGATATATTCTCCTAGAACTGGAGGTTACACCAATTTCAGTTAGCAAAACCAGAAAGAAAAGGTTCTTAGAGAGTCCAGGATACAAACAATAAAAGGATATACATAACATAACATATACCGTCCCACAACAGAAGGTTGAAAGCAGCACCCAAGATAAGAAAAGCAGACATGAGACATCTAAAGGAAACTTCCGAGTTGAACGACTCCTAGCACCATTCCATCCACTTGTGGTGCATGGTTGGCACCAAAGGGTTGATTTCATTATAAGCCAGTAGAGAATAGGAGTCTAGGCTATGATTATTTTTGTATCATAAAAAGGCGCATGTAATCTAGTAACCCGTTTGGCTGTATGTAATAAATTCATTTTCTTTTTTCTTAATGCAATGAGACAGTTCTCGTGTGCACACACACAAAAAAACAGCATCATAACATCCACCTTTAAGAGAAGTATAAAAACATTATTACAAACATCTAAAAGATCAGGCCCAACCCAAACAAGATAAAATTAACAGGGCAGACCCTGTAAGTAGAAGAGAAAAAAAGCAGGAAAAGAAACTACTACGTGAGGCTATTGGGCTGACAAAAGGGGGTGCTGCTCGGGTCAGGTGGGGAGAGAGACCAGCCCAGCATTGGTTATAGAGGAGGTAGCAGGGAGAGAACAGGCATATGCCCGCCTCCTCTCTAAATGCCATTTGACAGAACTAACGAGTTGCTTTACATAGCACCTTGTGCCTTCCCTTCCACCAGAATTGTTCTAGTGACAGATTGAAAAGGAAATGTAACCCATGGCTTTTGACGAACTTTTCTTAGAAACAAACAACTTTTCAGATTTTGAAATAGTCCAACAGAATGCCACAAAACCCAAAATTAGTAAATTCCTCTTTTTTTTCCTCAAGGAAACTGATGTAACCACCACCCAATAGTTGGTACAGAAACACAATTTTTGGTCCCTTAAATCATCACTTACATGAACGAGCGACGCTTTACCTGGAGCAATGAGCAGGACACGCCAACTCTCACCAGGATAGATAGGCTCTTCTGCACAACTGAATGGGAGTTGCTATTCCCGTCTTGCTTCCTACACTCGCAGCCATCTCTTATGTCAAACCACACACCTCTTCTCTTGCAGGGAGAGATGCAACAGCATCATAATGTGTGCTTTCGCTTCGAAAATTTCTGCACAAAAATGGAGGGTTCTAGGAGTTAATTCATGGCATCTGGAACCAACCCGTGGCGTCGACCCAACCTCTCAAACGGCTACACATTAAATTATCCTGGGTCGCAAAGGGAATCAAACGGTGGCGAAAAGAGAAAATAGGTGATACAAGGCTGCAGCTAGCATTAGTAAAAGAAATCCTCCTGCAACTTGAAGCCGCACAGGAGTACAGATCCCTATCTCAGGAGGAACTACAGCTCTGGCGACAGCTAAAAATTCGTAGTATGGGCCTTGCAGCAATAGAGAAATCCAGAATCAGGCAAAAATCCCACCTCGCCAACATCAAATGCGGCGACGCCAACACCAAACTATTCCACATTCGTGCGAGTTCAAGAGCTAGAAAAAACTACATCTAGTGCCTGCAAAGTGACAATGGGATTGCCCTCACGCACAAAGACAAAGAGGAGGTAATCGGCGACTACTTCCGGAACCACCTAGGCACCGTGGTCCCGAGACCGGCCACCCTCTTGTGGTCCACTCTTGGGTACAGCCCTCGCGACCTCTCGGAGCTGGAAGCCCCCTTCACCGAAGATGAGATCAAGGAAACCATCCACTCCACGCCGGGAGACAAGGCTCCGGGCCCGGATGGCTTCACTAGGGCCTTTTTCAAATCATGTTGGGAAATCGTCAAGTCCGATGTAGTGGCAGTTATCAATGCTCTCTTCGTTATGAATTCACAGGGCTTTGACCTCCTTAACTCAGCCAACATCATCCTCCTCCCCAAGAAGCCTGACGCAAGGCGGGTCACGGACTACAAACCTATTAGCTTGATCCACAGTATCGCCAAGCTCTTTTCCAAAATCCTTGCAAACAGGCTGGCACCGTTGTTGGACTCCCTAGTGTCAAAATGGCAGAGTGCCTTCATAAAAAAAGGCATACATGATAATTTCTTCTACATCGATGACACTGTGAAGCGCCTGCACACGTCCAAAACCCCGGCACTTTTCATGAAGCTCGACATCCAGAAAGCTTTCGACACGGTCAGCTGGAGCTACTTGCTTGAGGTGCTGCAAGCTCTCGGGTTTGGGCATCGCTGGCGCGAGTGGGTCTCCATCTTATTCCGCACAGCAGCCTCTAGAGCCTTGCTAAATGGCGTGCCTAGAGGAAAATTCCGCCACGCCAGAGGGGTGCGCCAAGGTGATCCGCTATCACCTATGATCTTCATCTTAGCCATGGACCCATTGCAGCGATTGTTGAACCTTGCCACCAGCCACAACGTCCTCACGCAGTTGCCTCTTGTTGCGGTAAAGTGGAGAACGTCCATGTATGCTGATGATGTTGCAATCTTTGTAAACCCAAAAAAAGAGGACATCAACGCCGTCAAGATCATTCTTGAGACATTCGGGAAGGTGTCTGGGTTGTGCATAAACATGGATAAAAGCTCCGTCCACCCGATTAGATGCGAAGATATCAACCTTGATCATGTTCTCTCGTCCTTTTCGGGGACCAGAGACACTTTTCCGTGCCACTACCTTGGTCTACAGCTGCACTACAGGCCACTGCGTAAAGTACACATGCAACCCCTCATAGAGCGAATCGGCCAGAGGTTACCGGGCTGGAAGGGCAAGTTGCTAAACAAAGCAGGACGCTTAACGCTGGTCACTTCGGTCCTATCGTCTATGCCTACCTACCAACTCACTGTCTTCCCACTTGCTGCCTAGACCAAAAAACAGATTGACAGAATCCGCAGGTCATTCCTTTGGAAAGGGGAAGAAAACACAAATGGAGGTCACTGCCTTGTCAACTGGCTGACAGTGTCAAAACCAAAAGAGCTTGGTGGCCTTGGGGTCCCAGACTTGGAGAAATTTTGGAGAGCTCTGCGATTGGGTTGGCTGTGGCAGGATCCCTCCAAACCTTGGGCTGGTATGGACTTGCCATGTAAACCAGCGGATAGACTCCTCTTCAATGCCTCAACCATCATCATGGTCGGGGACGGTAAGAAAGCACAGTTCTGGCATCATAGTTGGCTGGACGGTGAAGCTCCCAAAAACCTTGCACCACACCTCTTTGAACTTGTTAAGAGGAAAAACAGAACGGTCCAACAAGAGCTCCACAATAACTGTTGGATTCGCTTGCTCAGAGGTAGGATCACAACAGCCACTCACTTAGAGGAATTCGTCTCACTGTGGCTCAGGGTACAGAGCATCCAGCTGCAGCATGGAATACGGGACTCCATTGTTTGGATGTGGTCAATAGATGGCATTTACTCAACCCAATCAGCATACCGCATACAATTCCAAGGATCCTACCGCAGATTCCGCCATGATCTTATTTGGAAGGCACATGCCGAAAACAAATGCAAAGTCTTCACTTGGATTCTCATACAAAATAAGATCCTAACGGCAGACAACTTGCAGCTAAGAAATTGCCCACACCAAGACCATTGCGTGCTGTGCAATGGACCACTGGAAACAGCCCTTCCACTTGTGCTGCGCCTTGTGCTGGGGTGGGAACACTTTGATGTGGACTTAATTCGGCCTCAGGTGCAGCCATCTAGCATAAGGGCGTGGTGGAAGCAGGGGGTGGCCAACATCCCAAGGCAGAGATGTAGACACTTCAACGGGGTGGTCATCTACACAATGTGGAACATTTGGAAGGAAAGAAACAGAAGGATTTTTCAAAATTTGGTGATGGATGTCCGGCAGGTAGCCTCCAAAACCAAAGAGGACATCGACCTATGCTCTAGGGTCTTCAACAACCTGACTTAGACCTTGTATCTATCCCCTAGGACATGTGTGCTTTGTGCTTTACTTTACTCTATGGGCCCTTTGGGGGTTTCGTGCCGATAGCACTTTCTCTTTCCTTCCTTAATTGAGAGGCAGAGCTCCTGCCAGGTTCATTCAAAAAAAATGTTATGGATATTTCCTGACCGACTATCCGACTAAAGGGATCAGTATCTTTACTTTCAGAAACCCACATGGCTGTATGTAACAAAATTAGGATACTCAAATTCATATACATATATATATATATATATATATATATATATGTTATTGTTTGTTGATATCCATTAATATCTTATCAGATATCAGATAGCTGACATTATCCGTATCTGAATTCGAGTCCGATGAATAATGTAGCTATCCGTATTTATAACCCTCCATTTCCGATCCGTTTACATCCCTACTTACAGCTCAAGGAACTGATGGCATCTTGGTCTATTTTTTGTGGAATATCTGAAAGGAGCGGAATCGAAGAATTTTCTAGTGTGTATCTTTGCAACCTCTTCAAATAGCCTTTCTCAGGAAGAGATCAATATGTTCAAGCTGGCAACTAGAAAAAATGGTTCACAAAATGGGGGAAATAGTTTCTATGAGTTTAGAGGAGGCCCGAGCTGTATTCTGTGCCCTTTCTCTTAGTGGTTTATCCTCTTTTCTTGTTGTCCGTTGTTTGATTTTTCTTTACTTGCTCTCTTGCTGTGTTTTCGGAAAAAAAAAACAACTCAAGGAACTGAAGCAGTCAACAGTCCGTAGTGTCGATAGAATTATTCAAAGGCAATAATAGAAAGACAGTGACATGTTTTGACTGATCAGTAGACCTTGACTGCAAGGTCTTCATTCAGATTCACTGTATAGAATACATGAACTTAACAACATCTTCTAGTAAGTATCATGGCTAGTCTATACCTTGTTCGTGGCATCCTCATGCTAACTCTGGTCCTCCTCAATATCCATATCCTCAAATCTAATTGTGAGTCCATCACTAGGGATTCTGAGAAGGCAGCGCTTCTAAAGCTTGAGCAAGACTGGGGCAAGCCTGCGGCTCTGAACTGGAGTTCCATCACAAACACCGATCATTGTGATTGGTCAGGCGTCATTTGCACAGATGGCTTTGTAACAGGTTTATCACTTGCTGGCCGTGACCTCTACAAGCCAATTCCAAAAGCAATTTGCTCGTTCAAGAATCTATTTTACATCGATCTATCCAAGAACCAAATATCAGGTTCTTTCCGTACATCTATTTTCAATTGCTCTAGACTTCAGCACCTGGATCTCTCATTCAATTCATTGTTTGGTTTTCTTCCTGCAAACATCCATAAATTGTCACCAAAGCTTGCCTATCTAAACCTCGCATCAAATAGCTTATCTGGCAGCATCCCAAGTGCAATCTGCCAGCTTCATGGTCTTCGATTTCTCCACCTTGATAACAATTATTTTAATGAAAGCTACCCAGCAGAGCTTGGAAATCTCTCAGAACTTCGAGTTTTATCTCTTGCTTATAATCCCTTTGCTCCAGGCAGGATGCATCCACAGTTTGGGAATCTGAGCAACATAAAATATTTGTGGATGAGCAACATGAATATAGTTGGTGAAATTCCAGACACCATGTCTCAGCTGAGTCAACTTAGGCTACTCGACTTGTCTTCTAACAGATTGAATGGGATGATTCCTAGTAGGGTTTGGAGGTTGAGAAGTCTGGAAATGCTCTATCTAGTCAACAACTCTCTGTGTGGTCATATAAGTGGACCAATTGAAGCAATGAGTTTGACCGAGATCAATGTTTCAAACAACCTACTCACAGGAAGGATACCAGAGGATTTTGGTAAGCTGAAGAACCTGACCCTCCTTTTGTTGCATGACAAAAATATCTCAGGTTTGATTCCGAATGGTATTGCACTTCTTCCCATGCTCCATGATATGCAACTCTCACGCAACTTTCTATCTGGTGGACTTCCCAATGAGCTGGGGAAGCATTCCATGCTTTTTAATATTGAAATTTCATCTAACAATTTATCTGGGAAGCTACCTGAGGGCCTTTGCTCATTTCAGGCCCTTTAGTACATTGATTTCTCCAATAATAGATTGTTGAGTGAACTCCCAAAGTCTCTCTTGCGCTGCAGGAGATTGAGGTCCATATTCTTGAACAATAACCAGCTTAGAGGCAGTTTTCCAAGCAGCCTATGGTCACTGCCAGAGTTGACTATGATTATGATCCAGGAAAATGGTTTCTCTGGCTCACTGCCAAGTAAGTTGAGTTCAAATATAACAACAATTAATATCAGCAATAACAGATTCTCTGGAACCTTACCAATGTCAGCAGACAACTTAAATATGTTAATGGCAGAAAACAACTTCATCTCTGGTGAAGTCCCAACAAACCTCATCCTACATGCACCTTTGCAAGTCCTCGTCCTGGCTGGAAATATGTTATCAGGGTTACTACCTTCAAGGATCTGGTACATGCAGTACCTAAAGAAGATTGACCTTAGGAAAAACAATCTCTCTGGTGAGATCCCAAACATCCCACTAGACACCGTGGATTTAAGTATGGCAATTGATACCATAGATCTCTCAGAGAACCACCTCTCTGGCCCAATACCAGCAAGCCTTATATATCTGAGACCTACCCTCCTCAATCTCTCTAATAACCAACTGACAGGCCATATTCCACCTGTTTTTCAGATAAACGAATTTGAGCAGAGCTTTCTATCCAATCCTGGTCTCTGCTCCTACAACTTTGGCAACTATCCTATGTGTAGCACACAACCAGGTCCAGAAGAACAAGACAAACATTTGAAAAGGCCCATAATCATTTTCCTAATCCTTGGTTCAACAATGCTCGTATTCACAGGGATTTTTTGTTTCATTAAGATTAGGTCTAGGAAAAAGCATGAGGCTCCATCTCCACAGTGGAAGCTAACAACCTTCCAACCCATTAGTTATAATGTTGAAGACATTCTTTGTGGTCTTACAAACAATAACCTTGTGGGTAGAGGTGGCTCGGGAAAGGTATACAAGATATGCCTCGGTAACAACTGCAAGATAGCTGTCAAGAAAATAGGTAATGGCCTAAAGAAGGATGGTATGCTGGAAAAACAGTTTCAAGCTGAAATTGGGACTCTTGGATCTATCAGGCATGCTAACATTGTCAAGCTGCTTGGCTTCATATCAACCTCCGAGTCGAAGCTCCTGATCTATGAATACATGGAACATGGTAGCCTATATGATTGGTTGCATCAGAGAGATAAGGACTGAGCTACATGCACCATGATTTATGTCCACCTATAGCACATCGAGATGTCAAAGTCCAGCATGTTAGTTGATCTCCACTAATGCGTCTATTGGGTCCTTGGATCTGCGCCCTGATCGGGGGCGCCCAACCATAATATGGTTGGTGGGCCCCTGTTGCACAGCACTATAAAGAGAGGTGGGGATCAGGGCTCTAACTACGAGGTTGACCGGAGCCGCCGTGACCCACCAACAGAAAACCTAACCCGATCTAAAGAGGATGCAGCCAGCGACGGGAAGACCCACTGATTTTGCCGCCACCAACCTCACCGTCGCCTCTACATCGCCACTGGACCTCGCCACCACTACGCTAGACTCCACTGCGCCGAGCTGCCACGACACCGGCGTCCAAGAAGCTGCGGCGCTATGGACTGAATGATGACCTAGGACAAGGTACATCAACAGTTTACCCATCTAAGTAAGATGCTTACCCCTGATCTACGTTTCAGAGGCACTGTGTTTTACAACAATGGTATCAAAGCCAGGTTAATAGTGTATAGATCTAGTATGAGGTAGAGAATGGAAAAGAAATCGAAGAAAAGATCAGAGGGTTCGATTCGGTTCGGATTGAAACCCTAACCCTAACCGGGTAAAAGAAAATGAAAAGAGACTGGGGAGGTGGCGGACGTCCCTCAACTGCGGGTCACCACCGCCACCGCGCGGGGAAAGGTGCCACACCGCCGTCTTCGCCGGCGCGCAGCAAGAAAAGATCAGAGGGTTCAACCGAACCCAAACCGAAAGAAAAACGAATCGGGTTAATCCTAACCCTAACAAAACCCTAACCCTAACCCTAATCCCCAATCGGCAAAGAACCAAGAAGAACACATCAAGATCTAAAGACAAAGAAGGGGAAAGGGGAAAGGGCATGGGAGGCGGCTCGCCGGAGCTAGACCGACGGCCACCGGTAGCTAACCCTAATCGGGTGAAGCACTGAGAAAAGAAGAGGGTCGCCGAACCCTAACCCACGAAACACTCGCCGGTGAAGATGAACAGTGACTCCAGTGAGTCAAACCCTATCCCTAACTTGTCTTAACCCTAACCCTAATCCCCAATCGGATGAAATCCGAGAAGAACAGAGGAAAAGATCCAAAAATAGATGAAGAAAAGAGAAAGGGGAAGAAGGGGAAGGGTCCTACCTCGCCGTGCACCACGTTGCCACCTCGCCGACGCGCGAGAAGAAGGCTGAACGGGCCAAGGGCGTCGCGGCTAGGCCCCTCGACGGTGGCGCGCTCACCCGTTGGGGAGTGCGCACGCCGGCGAGGGGGCCGGCGACGGCGCCATGCTCCACCGTCTCTCAATCGCTCGCTGCGGCTGCGCTGAGGGGAGGAGAAAAGAGCGCGGCGAAGAGAGAGAGAAAAGAGGCAGCCGAATGTGTTACGGTTCGGGGGAGGACACCGCACGGCGGGGTTTTGTTCTCCCTATCCGCACGCGCTACCGTCCGATAGGAATGGACGAGCGACGATGACCGGGCCAGAATCAGGCCCAGGCGGGTGCAAGCGGGAGGCCGCTTTTTGCCCGCCCAGCCCAGTTGTGGCTCTGGTGTGGGCGGCAGCATCGCGTGGTGTCTTTTGGGCGAAAGGCAGCGCCGCTGATTCGCTGTCGATCGGCCGATTCTTGTTCTTGCAGGACGGGCCAAAATGAATAGAAGGGCAATTTTTTGTTTTGTTTAATTTCAGAAGCTGATTTGAATGAATTTTGATGAATTTCAAAGGTTTAAAATTTCTGATAAAATTACACCAATGTGTTATTTTTTTCCAGAAAGTATATATGAACAAGAAAAGCTTCTGAAAAATAGATAATTTTTTACTTTTTCCGTTGCTAAAAAATTGTTTATTCTCCAGTTATTTTGAACCAACGTGATATTTAATTAGAGAAAAAGAGATTTTGACATGATTATGATGTTGTTATTTTCTGACCAACGCTGTTAATAACAATATCGTAATTTTAATGATTTTATGCATTAATTCTATTTCTGCCCAACGGTGATGTAGAATTAGTGTACAAGAACAGTTGTATGTTTTAATTTTGACCAACGTTGTAATCAAGACATGCAATTGTTATTATTATTTATGTTCTCGTTCTATATGAATTGTGTTGCCAGGCGGATACAACTTGATGGGTTGTATCAAAGAGATCTCTACTCTCAAAGGTGACAACTACACGGAGTAGAAAAAAAGATTGACCTGGGTTTTATCTTGGCTGAGGTGGACTAGGAAGTCACCTCACCGTGTCCCACTGAGCCTGTGGCACCGGTGAGGGAGACAAATGAGGCTGATGTCGCTTGGACAACTAAAGAGAGGAATTTTGAATCACAAAAGATGTCGTATGACCTTGAGCATAGGAAGTGAGTCACTGCCAATAAGAAATATTTGGCTGTGATAAAGAACACAATTGAGCCTGTAATTGTGGGCTCAATCCCAGAGTGTGACATGGTCACCGAGTACCTCGATAGAATAAAGAGTCAGTTCACTGGCTCTTCAAAGACATATGCTACCCAGCTGATAAAGCAGCTGGTGACAGAGAGATACTCTGGAAATGGCAAATATAAAATAACATTTAATAATGTATGTGTTGGTCTTGCTATCTTACAAAATGAGCTTTATTTGTTATCACTACGTGATGATGTGAATGTTGTATGCAATGATGGAAACGTTGCGTGCGATAATGAGAATGTATCCTCGTCTGCGGATGTAAATAGAAAACGAAAGAGAGCTCACGATGCGTCGTCGAAATTATGGCACTGTCGTTAAGGCCATATTTCGAGGGGGAGAATATAAAGACTAGTTAAGAATGATATTCTTCCTCCATTAGAGTTCTCAGACTTAGAACAATGCAGAGAATGCATAAAAGAAAAGTATGTAAAGAAAATTAAGAAAGATGCCAAACGAAGCGTAGGAATTTTACAGATTATTCACACTGACATCTGTGGTCCGTTTAAGAATAATATTCTTCCTCCATTAGAGTTCTCAGATTTAGAACAATACAGAGAATGCATAAACAAAAGTATGTAAAGAAAATTAAGAAAGATGTCAAACGAAACGCAGGAATTTTACAGATTATTCACACAGACATCTGTGGTCCGTTTCCTATAAAGAGTGTTGATTGTTATGATTCGTTCTAGAGGATGTTAGTTAATCTCCACCAATGGTCTATTGGGCCCTTGGATCTGCGCCCTGATCGGGGGCGCCCAACCATAATATGGTTGGTGGGCCCCTATCGCACAACACTATAAAGAGAGGTGGAGATCAGGGCTCTAACTACGAGGTTGACCAAAGCCGCCGTGACCCACCAACAGAAAACATAACCTGATCTAAAGAGGGTGCTGCCAGCGACGAAATGACCCACTGACTTCGCCGCCACCAACCTCACCGTCGCCTCTGCATTGCCACTGGACCTCGTCACCACTACGCTGGACTCCACTGCGCCGAGCTGCCACGACACCGGCATCCAAGACGCTGCGGCGCTATGGACTGAATGATGACCTAGGACGAGGTATATCAACAGTTTACCCATCTAAGTAAGATGCTTACCCCTGATCTATGTTTGAGAGGCACTGTGTTTTACAACACAGCAATATCCTGTTGGATCTTGAGTTCAAAGCAAAAATTGCAGACTTTGGTCTGGCACGTGCACTTGTTAAAGCTGGCGAGCCAGAGTCAATCTCAGCAATGGTCGGATCCTTTGGATATATGGCTCCAGGTAAGAAAATAGTATCTTATTTTTCCCTTTCATATTGAACAAAGTGGTATGACTATATGAGGCTACGATACGACTCTATTCACCCTACGAGACGCCGGACGAGCTAGCGCGCCAAATATTCTTCTGCTAGCTGCCTCCGTCCTGATCCGCCGGAGTTCACGGGGCGTAGAGGCAGCACTATTGTCGTCTTGTGAGTCCCCGTCACGTTGCGCGTTGTTCTCGCTACAGGCGCCGCGGATAGGCTCGGTGCACTTGCTACCCGCGCCGCGCGCGTTGCGATGCTGGCTGCCTTTAATTCCACCGGAAAAAGGGATTTCACACGCCTCATGCTCATAGGCATCAGGCATATGGCGAGCCGTGCACTCATGACTCACCTGATACCGTAATATGGTGGCGAAACGAACAAGTGGTGTCGTGGCTATCATCATGAGCTAGAAGAACCTTCGTTTCTGTTGCTGATCAAGATCGGTACACAGATGCGGTTTTACATCTTTCATTCAAATTTTTAGACTTTCTTTGAGTTCTCGTGAGAATTGAAGGGGACGAGTTCAGGCGAGGTGCATGTGTATCGGTACTAGTCTACGGCCGTATCAATCAATTGCCAAGCGATAATGGAGTCGTTTCTCATGAAATTCTTGCATCGCTCTTCGAATCAGACCCTAATCATACAAGAGAAACATGATAGTATTTTCTACTCTATAAAGATGATCGACAACAAAAAGGCTCAAGTACCCAGAAGACTAATGACATTTGCTGCGCAATTGCAATCAACTAATAAGGACACTCCCAATCCAAAAACTAGAATGATTTATCTTCATTGATTAGGGTGACAACTAAACAAAACGGTGACACGACAAAAAAAATTAAAGAAGAGAGAGAAGTAAATGCTTCTTTCATAGAAAATCATGTCTACATGAAAACCAATATGAAGAGACGAGACAGGTGGATACCTAAGAGAAAAGACACGTGGTTGGATAAAATATTATTTTAAAAAACTATCCAATAAAATATAGTTTATATATGTAGTGTCTAAATAATTTAAAAGATATAGAAACTAGTAGTGGTTTCTTGTATTGGCACTGTCCTAATTCTACAGTATGAGCCCTTTTTATCACTGCTATAGAACCGTTATTAGAGACAGCACTTTTAGTATAGAGGCGGCTCTATCAAGAATAGCCTCTAAAAATCAATTTTTAAGAAAATGACCTCTATTTTTAGGGACAGCTGGAAAGCCTAACTGCCTCTAAAAATGTCATTTGAAATCAACT